TGCTTAGATCGTGCGTCGCGATTTGTACATTTTTCCGACATAGATGGAAGGTGACGCACCCTCTTCCATATTTTAAGTATGTGGGTTTTCGACATGAGCCATTATAAGTTTGAGGACGCGCGCGAGGCGCGTGCACAGGAGATGGAGAAAGAAAGACCGAGAAAGAGGTGGCGGTACACGGGAGTGAGAAAAAACGGAGAAAGAGAGAAAGACGGAGCGAGAGGCAGGTGCATCACGGTGACACTCCCTCGATAATTCTCCGGAGAAAGAGAGAGAGAGAGGGGGGAGGGAGGGAGGGAGGGAGGGAAGGAGAGAGAGAGAGAGAGATGATGGTAAGCATATTAAAGAAAGAAAGAGAAAAGAGAAGCTAAGTCACGAGTGTTGTGTCTGGAGATCGTTTATAGTCGTTCGCTTAAACTCTCGCTCCGAGGAAGGAGAGTTTCGAAAATGGCGTCGATGGACCCCGGTTCAAGAAATGTTGAGCATGACAATCTTCGCGATGCGATGATACGTGATATCTCGAAAGAGGGTTGTAAAAATGGCGATGATTGTGGGATTCGAAGACCTCGTACAGAATGTCGCTCGCGAAAGGTAATCTTATTTCTCGCAGGAAATAACGCGAACAAGAATAAATATCGCTCTTATTTGAAATACAGATATTTTAAATACCTAAGACGATAAAAAATATCTGCCGACTCGTTAAAGAATTAATCCGATTGCATGACGATGTTCGATCGATCGATGCTATACGTGAATCACGTATGTGTGTTTGTTAAACTATATTTTATCGAGCTCGCTACTTCCTGAAACAAACTCGTACTCAGGTAGATTTGCTGATTGTGAGTCATAGAATATACGCGATAATTTTAGATTCCGACCGTTCAATTTCGGTACCGCTGTTTTCCCGGCATTACGCGTAATTTCAAATCAGATTATTTTCTCGGCGCAGACGCGAATATTTATCTTTGCCGATGGATTCTCCAGGATGCATCTCATCGCATCTCGCGCATCTCCTGGTAAAATGCAGCGCGAAATAATTTTCGATACGCCCGCGATCGTCGGATTTACGAAACACAGACGAACAATAAAATGCTTATTATTCGCGTTTTATCTCTGTTTATATTATTACGTTGCGTTGTATACTCGATAAAATGTTAGTCGACTGAACCATGCGCAGGAGAGAAAAAATTGAAGGATACGAGTGAATTTTCTCGAATGAGAGAAAATTAAAACGGATACCGGAAATATTTTCGGTAAGGGATGCTATTTTCGGATACCCTTGCACTTGAACTTTGAGTCGACCCTCGACTCTGTAAAACATTACAAAGAATGCTGCTTACACACAGTGGATGTTGTATTATATAATTTCATTTAATGATAAGGAGCGTTTTTCCATGTTTGTTATTCTCTCTATATGTTTAGTAATATATTAAAATATAATTTGAATAATTAATAAATAATAATACTTATGCTGTGTTTACTATCGTTTTCCATGTTAGAAACAATTGAACCGAATTTTAATGCGAACTGTCTGCGAAATAGCGAATCAAGCGGTTGTGTCGCGAATTGAAGGCTCACAACCGTCGTAATATGGCTTGTTAAGTTATGATACGCAAAGTAATATGAACCTTAATAATACAGTCACGGCGTAATACGGTCTGCGGCGAGGCCTCTTCGACGCAAAGCGACAATCGTCGAGATTAACGGGCCGAAACAAACCGACGACACACAAGTCAACTGTCTCATAGTTATCAAATTATGAGAAACGAGACTCGGCGAACCTGACACCCGGTAGAAACATTCGAGTAAATAATGAATCTCATTGATTTTACGTAACGGTTCTCCGATCACAAAGAATGGAAATATTCCATCTTTTGTTGTCCAAATTAATTTTGATCGATATTAAATAATTTGTGATGCGAAATTAAATTTAAAGTTATCATTAGTATACTAATTATAATAAATTCTATTATTTATGCAGTATTTGAATTAAAGAATTAAAAAAAATATAATTCGGTGTAATAATTATACATAATTATTTTTTGTTAAAATAATTATACATATTTATTTTTTGAGAATTTTGGAAAATTGTATGAGAACGTTATTGCGCAAAATTTATACGTGAAAGATTACGAATTCAATTCGTTACGAAACGCACCGCTCTTTCTTTCCTGCCGTTCTACAAAGTTTTATGGGAAAACGCAACGCCGCGATATAAATTATATTTAACCGAATAACCGGCACATACAGTTCCCGCAGCATTTCAAAGGAATATGGGAAGGAACGCCTCGGACGAGGCGTCTAGAAGGCGTTTTTGCGGTCTCTCCGAGCCGCTCGGCTGCGCCGAACTTAGCCTACGAGAGAGGGCTTACAGCATGGTCGTCTTCCAAACAACGTCTCAAACCAAACAAACGTTTGAGACTCAGTTACCAACTATACCGTGGACTACCGCGCAAATACAACTCTCGCGCCCTCCTCTAAATCGTAATTTCGAATTGCTTTGTACGCTCCAAACTGATAATTAGCACGGGAATTTCGCAGCTTCAAAAAACAATGTCATGTTATTAAAATAGTTGTCCAAGTAGGTACAAATATACGTAATGTAATCGTATAAATAGAAGACGGAAGAATATATTTCCAGATTTGGCGCAAACTAATTTCTAAAACAAAGGAGAATATTTACTTAAAAAATATTAAAAAATCTACATTTACATATATATAAGATATCTTTCTGTTTTATAAATAAATATTCCCATCAAAATTGTTCTAAGAAATCAATTTATTTGTTAGCATTAAATCTGCAAATATATCCTTTCTTGATTTATTTATACAATTATTACGTATATTTATATCTATATGAACAGCATAGAATTATTTTATTAATATGACAATGTTATTTAAAGCCGCAAAAAAAAAATATATATATATATATATATATGTATGTTCTAACATAAATAAATATCATAACAAGCTTTCATTAATTCTTAGCTCTTGTAGCTTTTCATGTCAAGTTTTCATTCAGTCTACAAACAACAAGCAAATCTGATTCATCGTAAGAGATAAATATAATCTCCTGATAATAAAAATACTATTTAAAAACTAGTCTGATAATGAAAATACTTGGCATTTAAAAACTAACAGAACTCAAAGTGGGGAATATTTGACACGTGCCGTGGCGATCGAAAATCCACAAAAAGAATGAGAACCTCTTTCGAGAGGTAACGCACGACTCGCGGCACGCAACGGCGCATCGCTCCGTGGCTGCTTCTCTGGCAGGTGTATGAAGCGAGAAATAAAAGAAAAACGGCATATCCTTTCCGCGCGGAGGCTGATTGCCGAGAGAGCTCGCGAGGGAGGAAGGAGAGAAGGGAAAAAGAGAGCTCGCGAGGAAGAAAGGGAGAAAGAAAAAAAGGGTTTCGATTTATGGACTCCTGCATTACATCCGAGCGATTAACCGCTAACGATTCGTACGCTCGCGTTGACGTTCGGACACGTGGTACGAATGTACGCGGACGGATCCGGCGACGACGATCGTCTTTTTCCCGGGAGTCTCCCTATGCCGATAGCACTCACCCTCGCATTCATACGAGCGCACACACATACGCATGCATATACACATCTACACATCGCTCACACTGTTGCATATGACAGCGAGCGGCGATATAGGAGCGTCTCTAACGCGTCTAGGTTATGTTATTCGCATTCCGGCGCGGCATCGCGATACACGCGAGGGTGAAAACTCGCGCCGACGAAGACGAGGATCACGGCGTCGGCGAGAATAATCACTGGACGCGGGGAACACGAAACAGAGAGCCGTTGCTCTCGGCGCTAGTTTTCGTCGATGGGGCAGCACTGTCCAGGGCACTAACAAGCGAACCAAAACACAGAGCGGAGTAGCCGAGACGGCCGTCGACGATGACGACGATTCTCAGCGCGATTCGCGAGCTCGATCGACCGATTGAGAGACGCGCGAGGAGCTTTAAATATGCACCGGACGAGAGATACACTAGACACACCAGAGAAGAAGACAGAGAGAGGGAGCGTGAGGGAAAGAGAGGTCCGTCGCTTTATTTTTCACACGAGCCACGCACGGCGCAAGTATCCCCCCCGTGCGCGAGATACACGGCACTGTACGACGCACACTCACCAGGCTGCTTGTTGGCGATCTTATTGAAGCAGTTCTGAAAGACCTCGTAGAGATGCATCGGCTCGTCGTCGCTGGCCGCCATGTTTTCGCACGAGACGTGAAAACGAGTGGACGTTCTGTGGTCGAGGCGAGTGGGCACGGTTTCGCGGTGCGGCCGCGCGCGGAGCCACCCTCCTCCCGCTACGATCACCCACACTACTGAAGCGTGCAGCTTCACGGACGCGGCTCTTATACGGGCGCAGCTAGCGCCACCTCATGTCCGCGCTCGAGCGCCGCCACTCTTGCGGCTCGCGCGCCGTCTTTCAAACGTAGGAAATGACTCTCGCATTGCTATCCGACGAATTTAACTTTCTCTGAAAACAGAAATGTACATACCTTACGTTAATTAAGCAATTCGATTAAGTTATGCGTGATTGTATTAATTTTTATAAATAAGAGCAAGATTTCTATTTAAAAAGGGAAAAAATCCGACCTTTAATTGTAACGAATTTTTGACATATCGTTGAATAGCTTTTTCAAGGGTAATTTTTTTTCGACAATGTTTACGTTAAAATTTTTTATTTACAAATTCGAGAATATAAATACAGAATAAATTCTAAGTGTATTAAAATTATTAGTTGCAATGTATGGAGCGGTATCGAAACTTATAGTATAATATAATACATGAGATTCGAATCGCAGTGTTTTTTAATTGGCAAAATGGATGAAACTATATAATTCAAATATTGTTATCGATTAGTTAAAGTAACTTATGCCAATATAATATTTTTAGATTATATTAAAAAGTATAAAAATATTCTATATATAAAATATATTGCAAGAGATTAGAACAAAAATAGAGAATATTTATATTAATAAATAAACAAGTATATATAATCTTTGATCTTATATCGTAAGTTACGTATTAACAGCATTGATAAATAATGCCAACATTATCTAAAACATATTATGTTACAAACATGTATATACTGTATTTAGAGCAATTTTTATTCAATCTTAAACTCCATCAAAATCGGAATTTTGTGGAATAGGATGTGATATGTCCTCATAATCTTGCCGGCCATAACCTGTAAATAATTTAAACAAAATAATATACAAAGTAATCTTATTTATACAATTACAAAGCATGAAGTTGGACTGGAAGCTGCAACTGGACACTACAATTTCATGCAATTTAAATTCAGGCGCAAAGCAACCCTAAGAGAAGCACAATAACAGAGAATAGATAATTATGACACAGAAATAGATACCTAGATAATTAACATAGACAGATAATTAAAAATCGTTAAGTATTAAAGAATTCAGGACACAATTATAAATTGCAGTAAAGCATATAACTGTCAAGCACATACTTAAAATCAGATCTTGACGAAGCACTGATGCATTACAAAAAACGTAGATGTCTACCCAGTGATTTACTGACCCATCGCAGGACTCGGTGCAAATACTGTGGCTAAGCTGCCGTTTCTCCCTTGGCCTATTCGCAGCAGATATATACTCGAGATAGGACGGGCAATCAAATTTATAATCATAAGAGCTGCGCTAAATTTATTAGCTGCATCTACAAATTGATATAGTTAAACAAATAAATTGTTTACATGAGATAATAAATATCTCTTTTTTTTATTTTTTTTTATGATAAATGTATGTGAAAAATGTACGTATATATCATATACATATGTTAAATATATAAACTATACTTACCATGGTAGCCTGTAGGGAAGTAGACTGATAAAGTGATCACATCGAGAAATATAGAGAGCACATTTATAAAAAGTGCCTATAAGAAACGTGTGTAATAACTGATTTCAAATTAAAAAAACTATTTTTTTCTTCCTGAGTCTATAATAACTTACAAATTGAAGTGGTTCATCTGACTCGATACTATGAATAGCCCATAATATACAAACAAAGAATAACGAATTATAAAACAGCACAGATTGTGGACACCAACTTCCTTGAATACTCCTATAAAATATTTTACATAGATTGTAATGATGCAAGATTCTTATAAAAAATGAATGCAAAGTACAACGCAAGCATCACAAAGCAAGCTATTCTCACCATGTTACAAGTATCAAATGTATTGCAAATATAACCTGAAAAAATATATAATAAAAAGTAATATATAATAAATATTTTTTATTGTTGTTGTATTATAAAAGTTTATTAATATTTTTACATTTATAGCTTATAAAGCTTTATAAAACATTAAAATCTTATATAAAGGTAAGAATTTACTGATATATTTTAAAAAATTAACGATAAGTATAACATTATATTTACGAAAAACATTGAAAATGTATACGTTGAAATAAAAAAAATAGAATGAAATTATTCTTTATTTACATACCTTTAAAGGAAAATGGGATAAATTGGTTATATTAGGCATTTTCGTTGCGCGTATCTATAACTATAGAACAATAAAGTGTAATGGCGAATTAACGCGATTAAAAAATATATCTTTCCGACTATAATATGTGAAGCACTGTCTAATTGTATAAAACACTATCTAATCTATTTTTCCGCCTACAAAACTTTAATTCGATAACGATATAAAATATTTATATATACTGCGTACATCATCTCTGTGCGCAGCCCTCTTGCAAGTATTGCCATCTGACATTCTCCTATCAAACTATCATAAATAGGAAACTAATTTCGCAACCATTTAACATTCAATGAATATATTTTAATAAGAACATTTTTTAAAATATTAGGATTGCGAAATTGAATATATCATAATAATAGAGCGATAGACACGATTATATATATTTGTTCTAGATATTTAGAGGAGAAAAGAGAGGAAATATATATACATGTCTTTTTTTCTCCTTTATCTAGATTATCATAAGAGAGAAAAAGACCGATGCTTCTATATCCGTTACTGTCTCTCTCTTAACCCTATTATTACCGGATTAATATCTCGATTTTTAAGACGAATGCAAGAATAATATTATTATAATGAATTGTAGAACAATATGTACCTGATTAATCGCGTCAATTAGATTCTCGCTGCATTTTGGTGAGAAAATAACTGTGAAATATGTTGGCCCAAAGAAGAGAGGAAAGGGAGGGCTCGATGTCGGACACACATACATATACAGACGATTCAGTGATTGTATGCGATGATCAATGAGTTCTCACCAATACTTTATTGATGAACGCCAGAAACACTCGCGATTAGTTTTCGCGCACGAGATTCACTTTTAAACAGTAATAATCACGAGAAACACGGAGCGATCCAAATCCAATTTACGGTCTATCGCGGCGCGTTACGTCACTAACCCGCGCAAAATCTATCGAAAAACACACAGATTGCGATTCTCGAAATAATGCAATCGATCGATCGATATAAGGCATACTTTACCCAGAGAAAAGACTGAGACAGAGAGAAAACTGAGAGATGTCATGGCCTGCTTTTAGGTGATCCCTGAAAGCAATATTCCCTCTATGGACATTGAAAACGTGGACATGAACTACAAAGCCGATATACATGAATGTTCTCAGAGGGTATCATGTGCACAATTTCTGGTTTCGTTCCGTGCTATGTGCACGAAATGTCGGTAACCAGAGTATAACAAGACACTCATGTATATAAATTGATAGTAAATAAATTATGCAATCGTGAAAGATACTGTAATCTTCCAATGTAATGTTCAAAGATGAAATATTTTTCTATATTCATTGCCATGTTTATATATTTTTATTTACAAAACACAAAATGCCTGCTATGGAATAAAAACATTTTTAACCGTTATTTCTATAAATCTTAATTAGCAATAAACTGATCTTTGATATTTATTAATCACTTTTTTAATTATTTAAAAAAGTTATTATATTATTAATTATTTACTTATTTATTTATTACTTATTTAATTATTAATACATGTATAGAATTTGTCAAATTAATCACTGATTGTTCTAAAGTTTTTATAATTAAGATTCGAAAAATATAGTTGCAAAATATTTTAAATATCTCTTCCTTTATATAAAATATAAAGAATTTGTATGTTCCATTCTAATATAGTCAACATTATTAATATACTTTTATTATAATTTTCTTACCAGCATAATATTTTTATGGTTAATATTTTATATAATACAATGTACTAAATTATAAAATTTAATATAATTACAAAATAGTATTACTATTCATAAATAGGTTGTATTCATACTGTCTTTTAATTTCTAATCATGTCCAATCATTATGCATTTCTATTATCTATTATTTTCTTCTTCGAGTTCTTGGATTATTATGGTTTATTGTATATTCTTTGGTGTTAAAATCATAGGGATTATCATCATTTGTCATGCTTATTCCTTCCTATGGAGTTCATGGAAATATTTTCTATGGACATTTGTTCTCTCGAGTATAGATATTCAAATCACTCAGAGAGAGAGAAAGAGAGAAAGAGGAGGAGAAAGGATTTGAGATATTCAAATCACTGTAGTTGTCTTTTTTCTATTTTCTCCATTACTGTCTCTTTTTCTTTTATTTTATTCAAAAATATTAATATAATTAAAAATAACATATATATATATATATATATATATATATATATATATATAATTTTGATATCTTTTTTAGTCTGATTCTTTCCCTTCGACTTGTCCAGCATAGGTAACCCTATCTAAGGCCAGCATTCATAATTCATTCTTATATTTAAGATCGTCTTAAGTAAGTTAAAATACAACTATTTTACTAACTGATCGGAATCTCAAGACGCGATCTAAGATCATACTTAAGATTATTTTAAATATAAAAATAGTCTACATATATGAATATCGGTATTATACATTACTGCCGGCATAGCTCTTAGGTTCATTAGAGTGACTCAAACCTCATCCGGCAAATGCCTCTGTAAGGTGGAGATACGAGGAAAAAATTTTTTTAAAATTTTATTTTTATTTTCTTTCAATACAGAGTTTAATACAAAAGTGAATATAAAATATAATTTGAAACTTAATACAAAATAATTTTTATTTATTACATGGAATAATTTAATACACGAAAATGTCTTTAAAAATATACGTATAATATAAAACTTACTGAAAATTTTTATATAGTAATAACAGACAAGCCCGATTAGCGATGATTAATTATGCAACATTTATCATTGATAATCGATATGCGATATAGAATTTAATAAGTTTTATGTAACGTAAATATATATAATCGTGATTAAAAGAGTCATTAATAAAATTATTGATCATTTCTTCGATTATAGAAGAAAATATTTGCATTACTAGCGCATTTTGTGTAGATTATCAAAGGAAATATTCAAAATACGAAAAAATAAAATAAGCTTCAATGTAAATCAACAATTAAATTACAAAATAAATCGCGATTTAAAATTCGCGAGAAAACGCGAATAAATAAATCGATAATAATAGGAATATTCGATTCCGAGAAATATACGTATAATTTTTATAATATGATAATCAAAACTATCAATAGATACGTGCGCGACATAATTATTATCACACAAATGATGATACACGAAGATATTTTGATAAACATTTGTGGTCCGCATTGTTTATGAACAATTATTACTTTAATGATATTTATAGAATAAAATATAATTCCCGCGACGCTTTATCTCGTTGTATTTTTCAATTATTTAAAATTTAATTATTTAATTTAGAATCAAAACGCACAGCAAAACAATCGAATCATAAATCGAAAAAATTAACATAATAAAAAGCTTTGCGATACATCAAGTTAACAAATATTATTTAATTAATCCATGTAATCTAAAACTTTTAGACACTTTAACATTTCGTGTATATGTTAAAGTACGTAAAATATATCAGCAGTGAATGGATAATAACACGATCGGCCTTGGCGGCGTATGACGCGCTGTGTTTACATGTATGGTCTTGATATCATTCACACGACAACATTCGAAGAGTAAGGTGCGAAATACTTCGTATATTATTACATTTTTTCTCTAACGATAAAACACAATTATGACTAGTATTAAAACATAATTCGTTAGGATAATTATAATTAGTACTTGCTAAACTTTTAATTGTAATTATTACGCGATCGGGAATGCCGTGCAAAATGTCTCGCGATTTTTGTGTATACTAATATTAATTAACTAATCTTAATTAATCTTGTTTTCAGGAGTGAAAGTGAGTGCAACGAAAAAATAGTGAAGGAGAGGAAAAGCAAGTCTAAAAAGCACTGGACCACGTACTAAGCAACATTATCCGGTAAATAGTTTATAAATTATTTATCATTTATATTTATCATTTATATTCAGATTATATATATATATATATATATATATATATATATATATATCATTTATATTCAGATCATATTATATATTGCATGTTTTCTCAATAACGATTCTCTCTCTTTCCCTCTCCCCCTCTCCCTCACCCTCTCTCACTCTCTCTCTCTCTCTCTCTCTCTCTCTCTCTCTCTCTCTCTGTCATTGTAAATTATTTAAATTATTTAAGTTTTTAAATTATATTAGTATAACATATATATAAAATATTCTGGATTATCTTATTTTAATATACTTAAAATATCTATAATAAAATATTCTTATATTATTTAACACTTTTACATAGATAGTAATATTTCATAAACTGCTTCACAATAATATATTTAAATATTTTATGCATAAAGGATTCCATAATGAATAAATTGTTTAATAAATAATCAATTTTAATCAATCAATTAAAATACTTCTATAATTCAATATTCTATGCGTGTGTATTTTATAGTACATAAAATATTTTGACAACGAATTATTAATAAAATCATGACTTTGGCAAGAGTAGTGCGTTGTTTATATATTACAGTTTTGCTATCATTTGCTCGGTGATATTCAAGCAATAAATAATGATACGAAACGATTCGTATACTAATTAATTGTTTAAATAATAAATAATCATTTAATTAATCTATAAATATAAAAACTTCTACAATTTAATATTTTGCGTTACAATCGAACAACTAAACTTCAAATTTTTCTAAAATGTGAACATAAATTAATTATTAATTAAATGACTGCTATCACAACTTTATTTATTATTTTAATATTTTCATTCTTATAATTCGTATTACACAGCATATAATATGCGTATCAGTAGCATACGCATTGCTGTAGCAAGTAGCGAATGATTTTAATCTCGTGTAAAGGTCATGTTGCTCTTTTATCATTTAAGTATATAAGTTTCGTATAATTATTTTGTATGATTATTGAAAGTTTCGTGCAAAGTGCGCCACGTATTTGATTAATTATAATTAAATCGTGTTTTCGTGAGTGAGTGAATGCCACAAAAAGAAATAACGAAAGATACGTAAGAGAAGAAAGGAAGTTTGGAACATACGGAGTAAAATGAAGTAACATGAAGTAAAACAATCGAATAATATATGCAAATAATTAGCATAACGAAAGACCCCGTGACAAATTGTTTAATAAATAATCAATTTTAATCCATAACTTAGAATGCTTCTATAATTTAATATTTCACGTTAATGTACAATATATTTTATAATATATAAAATATTTTGGTAACGAATTATCGATAACACGATGTTCGAGCAATTCGATGTTTTGGCAATGTAAAATATAAACAGTAGCGCGCTATATTACGGCTTTGTCATTATTCGCACGGTGACTCTCG